CACTTTCCTGTAAAAAAAAAAAAGAAGTTAATATAAAAGTTTAAGAATATTTTCAAGTATAATTTATTTTATGTGCAATTTATTTACAAACATTTATATCAAGCTATTAACCTCAACCATGTATAGTGACCCCTCTTAAAAATATTGCCATCCAGGAACACAAATGTCTCTGCCTTTTTTTTTTGGAATGTGTCTATTTATGTTCTGTCTGTGCCTCATACTGTTTTAATAAAACTCTTGACAACCCAGCACCCTGAGCCTTCAGCCTCAAAGGATTTCTATTACAGATGGAAGTACATATTGTTTTAATCTGACCACAGTATTAAAGCCTCTTCAGTGACTTCGTTTTCCAAAAGTGGCTTTTTCTTGTTAAAATTATCCGAAATCTAGATGCAGGCAGGTGTGTTTCTAAGGAGTAAGACTACAACAGATGATAATTTTGTATATGATATTGACTCCCTCTTCGTGAATTTCTGTGGTCAAGGGAATATGGCCTTGGAATATATAGATCAGTAGAAACAAATTAGTTTAAAAGATACATATATGTTAGGAAGAAGCCAGAATGGAAGTTGTGAAAAATTTAAAGGAGCAGCAGATCAAATTTCACATCTTTTCTGTAACATTTCTCTGAGACTGAATTCATATTAGCCAATCTCAACATTTTTCTTGTTTTTCCAGTCAGTGCTGCTATTTCAAACATTTTTTTTTTTCGTTTCTTAATACAGTAGTCATGCACATTTATAAAAATGAATATGACAGATACTATTGTTTTATGAGAAAATAATAGCAAATACAGTTTTGGAGAACAAATATATGGAGGGATTTATATATATCTCATTTTCCATGTAAGATGAGAAAAGTGCTTGATTCACCAGACATAGAAACTTGATATGACAGTTTTCAAAAATCTAATCTACCTAAATGAAAGAAAGCATATGAACCATTCATTATTGATTGGGAGAAAAAACTTCAGCCTCATGCCTTCATTTATTGATACATTAATCCAGGCTTGGTACTTTGACAGCAATTTATTCAGAGATCCTGAAAGATATTTGAATTTCTCAAAATATATTGATATTTTAAATGCCTTTGTATCTCATCTGTCTTTTTCTTTCTTGAATTTATTTTTACTTTCATGATCATGGGATCATTTGTAGTTGGTGCATAATCTATTTGAAAACCTGGACCACATTTAGTGATGTTTTCTGAAAATATTATTATCAGAGAACATAGCTGTCTTTTGCTTTCATATTTTCGTTCTTTTAGTATTCTTGTATCTTAACTGATAAAACAACACCATTGTGTTTAGTCCATAGATTTAGTGACCAAAAAAAAAATTTTGTTTGGTTTAGCCTTCTCAATTTTACATTTGTGAGATAGCATATATTCATTGGAGCATTTACTTTCATATCTAAGGACAAAAAATGAATATTAGGATTACTCCAGTGAAGAGATTTAAGTTTAATATTTATGCAGTCCTTGTGCAAACTAATGGTTTGCAAACCCATGGTTTCCTTTTTATTACCTGTTCCCTCTGCGAGAGAGTAGAATAGAATAGAATAAAATAGAATAGTTCAGCTGGAGGTGACCTACAAATATTCTCTAGTCCAACTGACTGACCACTTCAGGGATGACCAAAAGTTAAAGCAAGTTATTAAAGGCATTGTTCAAATACCTCTTAAGCACTGGCATGCCTGGGGCATGCACCAGCTCTCCAGGTGCAAATAAATGCTTCCTAATGTAAATTCTACTGTTTTGTATGAACCAAGGGGCTTTGTGTATTGCTATGCTAAATTATCACACTTTTGGTCTTATTCCTCCTCCCTAAAACTAATTCAATCACTTTGTGGTGAGGTCTCTTTGTACCTTTTTGCATTGTCTTCTACTTTCTCTTTTCCTCTCCCATTTTTTTTTATACCCCAACTTTTTTTCTCTTTTATTATATGGATATGTGGATATTTTATGGTACCAGATATTCGGGAAGTTGGGCAGAGTGAAACATGATGCATACTGTCATCTGAAATGTGCCAGAGGTTTTCAATACACAGTAGATAGCTTAAAACTACAAATCTTGTTAATTAGATGCTAATGCTTTAATAATGTCAACTGTGTTTCATCAGTTTTTTGCCTGGAATGTCATTGAACATTGGTGTGACTCAAACCATCCACAAGTTTTTTCACTCATGAGTAACCCATGGAGGCCACCTCATAGTCTTGGTAATTTGGACAGCCAGCTTTAATTAAATGGAAAACATTTTTTAAAAATCCTTTAATATCTTCATCTACAACTTGTGGAATTTGTATTAGAACATAAATGAATGAACTACCCGGTCTTCCACTATAATACATATTCTTGTCAACTTAGATGAGAGTTACTTCTGCAATTTAATAATAGAATCAAACTTTTGGATACAAGAAATTTCACTGACTTCCCCAAGACCTACAACAACTCAAGAAGTGAGTAGAATTTAAGTCCCTAGAATTTAAACACTTCAGAATTCCTAATAACTTTTGCATTTTTACAATTTTAATGTAGATAAATTTAATATAATCTACCTAGAGAACAAACAATAATCAAAAAAAAAAAGCCAAACAAGAAAAAAAAGCCAAACATTAAGTTCAAATTTAAAACCATAGGTTCTGGATTGACCACTTTCATTCAGGAGTAAAATTTTGGGTCTCTAAAATAGGAATTTCTGGAAAAGTCAGCTTCTGACTTTGTAGTCAGTAGATCTGCAGTGGTCAAAAATTCAGAATCAAAAGTTTCAAGTTGTTAGAAAAGAAAAAGATAACAAAATAGAGCACATCATTTTGCCACCACAAAAATTCATGGTTAATAACATGTGCGGTTCTGATCCCTTCACAAAAAGAATCCAACAAAACTGAAAGGTTCAGCAAAAGTCAACAAAGGTGATAAAAGACATAAATCTTCTTTCATCTAAGTAATGACTGAGAAAGCTGAGGCTTCTTGGTCTAGAAAATACTTGACTAAAAGAAAATACAACAGAAGTCTAGAATATTCTAAGAAACTTGGTACATCAGTAATTCATTTTCTCTTTCAACAGAAGAATTAGGTGGTACTGAAAGAAAGAAATGTATGAAACAAATCAAGTGAAAGCAAACAAAGCAACCAGAGCCAGGTTTGAAACAAAAGGAGGGAGGTAAACCTTCGTATACAGTGAGTAATAGGCTGGGTACATTGTGGATGCAACAAATTTACGTGAGTTAAAAGGAAGATTGAACTACTTAATGGAAGATAAGATCCCTGAGAATTATAAATTGCGTGGAAAAGACATCCACCTCAGAATGTGCCTGATCTGAAAGTCGGACATTGGGTGAACATTAAAGGGAGTTACTATATATTTGAAAATAATTTCATGGTTTGCTCCCTAGACATTGACATATGGCCACAGTTGGAGACATCTTTTATCTAGGCTAGATGAGCCTCTCTGTTCACTTCTTTTAACATATTTATTTAAGCATATCTATTAAGCAATTTAAGCATATTTATAATCTGTTAGGTCGTCAGCCATGAAAAAGAGTTCTGGGTCACCAGTTGAGATACTGTAGCTGCATTGCCTTTCTTTGAACCTGAATAGACTCATGTCTTCATAGACACTTAAAATCAGAAGCAGGACACAACTGTCTACATGTGCAACCTATTAATACTTAGATGTCACAAAAAAAATCTGCTAAAGGTTGACAGATTGACAAAGGACATTCATACATTCTTCAGCAGCCATTGAAGCCCAGATGAAATAGCTGAGAGTTCTTACAAGCAGTCTAACTTCCTGTTTTTAGGCAACTGCAATACAGTTTGCATATGTTTGCATATATGTGTCTAGGTGGAGATACATCCTCAAACTTCTGGAACTAAATTCTCCTGCTTCCTGGCCTTCAGCGGCTTCTCTGAAAATTATTTGGTCTCCCAGTCATATATTCTAGGAGATCTAAAAATTTACCACACTGTACAGATATACTGTCATATGCAGTTAAAACCTGCTCTAATATGATGGTCAGTGGAATGTAGGGACCAGCATGTAGATGTAATACTCAACTGCCTAAATATGAATATTGAGAGTTTGACTGAATTTGAATGCCCTAGTGTATCTGGCAGATATAGCCCAAAATCTTCATAAGAACTGCACTCTTCTGACCTGACATCAATGAGATCACAGAATCATGCAGGTAGCAGTAGAGGTCAGGAGGTCTGTAGTCCAACAGATCAAAGATAGGTCAGGTGCGAGATTAGCCCAGCTACTAAGTAGCCCAGGTTACTTAGTTCAGTGGGATCTTGAAAACTTATGGGGTGATTTATTACTTCTCAAAAGCTGGTAGATTTGTACATACAGGCAGATGAATCCAACACTTAACATTTACAACTTGCAACCTTCTTCTTTGGAAATGTAATATAATAGTCTTTCAGCTGTATGTACTAAGCATTTGTTTTTGTAACTTTTGATTACATTTTTAAGCCAATTGTAAAAAGTTACATTTTCTGCATCATTAGTCCTTTATTTTGCTAATAATACGGCAAAACAACAGATTCAAAACTTGCGCAAGCAAGTTCTTTCATTGGGTTGTTGTTGATGTTTTGTTTTGTTGTTGTTGTTGTTGGGGTTGGGGTTGGTTTGGTTTGGTTTTAGAAATAAAGGATGTTCCTGCAAAGAGATACTTTCTGGATCCTTTCAGTGTCACTTTGGAAACCATTAAAAATAAGTCAGCCTACAAGAGAGCAGTTAGATGTCTTCAATGCCTTCAGTAAGAGATTAGTAAGATTGTAGTCTTAACGGCTGGCAAAACAGTGATCTTAAAGTCTTTTAAAAATCAATTAACTATTTACTTTTCTGCCCCTGCTGAAAAAAACCCCAGCCCTGCAAAACCATGTATTCTACAATGAAGTGATATACTTACAACATCCATTTTATCTTCTCTCATTGCATGGTATTGCTTTTCTAGGAATTTCTAGCATTTTTAATTCACCTTCATGTCATTCACAGATATTGGCAGATCTGGAAAACCATGTGCTTTTTAAGGATGACCTAGAATGTCAGAAGCTTATTCTGGAAGCCATGAAATATCATCTTTTACCAGAGAGAAGAACTCTCATGCAAAGTCCAAGAACTAAGCCTAGAAAGTCTACAGTTGGGACACTTTATGCTGTTGGAGGAATGGATAACAACAAAGGTATTAAAGGATATTTATTGCTTTATAAAAGTTATACCTTGTATTTTCTTTATCAGCAAATGGTGAAATAACTTTCTATTCCAGGACTGATGTAAGGATGTCTACTCAGTCAAGAAATGCTGCCAAGACTTTAGGTCTAATAAAAATCTACTGATATTTAAGGAAAAGAATAATAATGTTAGAGAAAAGAAACTGAGGTTTTAATTCAGTCTTTGTTAAAAATTATTATAATTTTCAGAAAGAAATTTAACAAAAAAAAAATTGAATGAAGTTAATTTACCTTAGTTTTAGATTTCTAGAAATTATGTTTGCTCTATAAATGAGTCAAATACTTCTTTCATTCTTTTTTAACCAATGAACAAAGGCAGTTTGATATGCAGTATCATTGATGTGCAGGTATTCCATCCTTAAATAGTTGTCTAAAATATTATGGATGATTCATGGTCTTCTAATGCAGAAATTTGTCAGTCCTTTAGAGAAAAAACCTAGATAACTAGCTTAAACTAGATTACTACTTCGTCAACAGATGATGGAAGATGAAATTATCCCCATTTTTCTGTGAGGAAAACTAGAAGGCAGTTGAAATTTTATTACAGTATTTTGTTGTTATTTGTTGGGATTAAGAATTACAATTATGTACTTTCATTTCTGCTAAGAAGTCTAAGCCACTGATTTCTTGAATGAATTAAATAAAATATTTGAACTTAAAGCTAGCTGTGTTATAAGCCTACATACTCAAAAAAGGCTTTTATTATGTTTTTGGTGATATTCGCTGACAACTCCACAGTATCTTAAATTTTAATGTCCGTATTTAGAATGAAGATTATGCCTTCAGAAACACTAGTTCTCATATAAAATAAACTGTACTTAAAAAAAGTATAAAATGATATCTTCAGGATTTTACAACTCTGTTTCTAGGGTATAGTTATTGCAGTTGTTTCCCTAAATAGGTTTGGCCATATCATATGCAAAATTCCGTGGCATGCTTTTCCCATAAAGTTACACCAATGAGGGTGATGTATGACATTTGTGCATGTGTGAAAAATAAATGGACAGCATCAAGAGAAGTGTGACAGGTTAAGGAAGATTAATGCTAACAGTTTTGGTTAGATATCGGGAAAAGGTTTTTCACCAGTGGTGGTTGGGCACTGGAACAGGATCCCTAAGGATCCCTAGTGATCCTGTGGTCACAGGGCAGTGGTCACAGCACCAAGACTGTCACAGTTCAAGAAGAATTTGGACAATGCTCTCTGGCACCTAGTGTGACTCTTGTGGATGGTCCTGCCCAGGGCCAGGAGTTGGACTTGATGATCCTGATGGGTCCCTTCCAACTCAGCATATTCTGTGACTCTGTAATTCTGTGATTTTTTAAAGTCCCTTCAAACCCAAATTGTTCTATGTTTCTATGATAATAAGAAAATGTTGATGAAAGAATCAATATACATATATTCTTATTGTAACTGTAGATTATTTTTGTCCATTTAGCATTTATAAGCATTTGTATAGCCAAACGTGAGGCATGGATGTGCACAGAACATTGTCTTTGGATCATAAAATAACTAAAATACAAATGTGCTCTTACTTAGAACAAGTTACTTTGAACACAAGTATTCATTGTGGGTAGGAAATAAACCCAATTTGGATGCAGCAGTATCTGTTCTCCTTTACTATAAATGTCTGTTCCTCAGTCGAAATGTAGAAATATTTAGGAAGAGAGCGCAGAGTGTAGCACCATTGCAGCATCGACACACAGCCTATTTTGCAGTTTCAGGTCAGGCAGAAGCAGTTTTTTTTCTGTAGCAGCAGAAGAGGACACAGAGCAACAGAGGTTCAGCCCTCTGTTGGTGAAAATTCTGACTGAAGATAACCAGGACTTTTATACATTTACAGCAGATACAAACTGCTTTGAGAGGGGGTCTGTTATGGCAGAGCAGCATGTGCACAGTAGGAGCCTTTGTTACAGCTGATGTAATATGTATTCCCAGTAACTCAGGTTCTGCAGCTGTGCAGTCTCAGCTTGCATCTGTTCAGCTCATCCCTCTTGTGACTCTTGACTGGCTTTTATGTCCAGTGAGTCTTGTTTCCACATGTCAGTTCAGGAGACCCGTTTTCTTGTTTTGAAGAATCACTGAGTTCATAAAGCAAACCTGAATATTTGGGCTGTGAGATTATGCTGATACTGTATTATCTCTCCTCAATAATTATTAATTTATTTTTTCCCCCACAACTCTCTTCACTGAAATGCTGACTTGGATGGTTGCAACTCACAATGATGTATTTTTAATGCTTCCTAGTGTTTGCTACCAAATATGAAACAGTTACATATAAGATCTGGATGAGCTAATCAAATTAGCGATTTATTAACTAACATATAAAATAGTGGGTAAGTACAAATATTATGAAAGTATTTGAAGGTTATGTGGCGCATCACATAAAAAGCAACCTAGCATGCTAAGTTTGTTTTAAAATCTCATCTATAGTTATCTTCCTTTCCATAAAAAAAAAGTGATAATTAAAATCCAGGAAATAGCAACTGGAATTTTGCCTGATGTGAAAAGTTAATGCAACAGAGCTCAAAATGGATAAAATTTAAAGGATCAAAGTTGGATAATTTTGTAATTTTAATTTCATAATTGTACAAAACCTCATTCAAATCTCTGTTTCTACAGACCTTTGGTTATTCATTAATTTAATTTCAGAGGTGCATGTAAGAAACCCACTTTCCCTATATGTTTGCATTACTGAAATGAGATGTATTGATAGATTGGGGGTGTATGCTTCTGACAATGTTCCATTCACTTTAGCCATTAATATTGTCACACTGACTTCTCTAATTTGGATTAGCAGGATTTAATCATCTAATAGCATACAAAAGCTAAGTCCACATATAAAGGAGGACAATAGACTGAAATGAGTAATTGCAAGAAGTGGACATTTACCAATTTTAAAGAATGATTAAACACTGACTTCCTGCAGCCATCTTGGAATCCTACATGCAGAGAAAAAACCATGTGATAGAACATGATGTATATGGTCTATGTTAGATGGTGCTATGGAAAATTATGAGCAGGCAAATATACTTGTATTTTACTTGAAGGAAAATATAGCAAGAGGAGATTGGTGTCAATAATCAAGCAGTCTTATACTGGTGTCAGAATACTGATTGATGTCTCATGAAGTGTCCTAACCTAGCTGACTCACTAGCTAGCAGTTAAAACAATAAGGGAAAAGTTAGAATAGTAAGGGACAAATGTTTCTTGTTTCCGGAAAGACATTTCTCGCAGCAGACTTCACTTAAACCTTATTTATTTTACTTTTATATTTTTCATTCTCATACAGGCATATTTTTTAAATACTGAAAGAAATGTTGGAAAACCTATTGTAAATACTGTAAAGAAATGCAAAAATACGGAAAGGTCGTGTTTTTCATCTTAGTAATTCTTGCTTTTTGAGATATGTGTCTGAGATATCTGTAACTTAAAGAGCTATCTGCCTCTTTCCTCTTCAGTTTAGTGAAATTTGTAAAAACAAACAAAAAAAAAGAAAGTTAAATGCATCAAAATTGTTCTATGGCATTTTGGAAGTGGTAGAAATTACTACAAACCACTTTGTTTTCACATACATAAAACATTTGACAACATTCATTATCTATCCATTTGATGCACATAACTATCTTGAGCAAGCATCTTATCTTCATCTTACTTGCATTTTCATTCAAAATATACAGTGTACAGTAAATGAGTTTAATTTTCAGAATGTGAGTGCTTATAGTCCTGTATTTGTGTAATACACAAAAAAACCCCTACTCAAGATGGAGTATTTTTCTTTAAAAAATAATTCCAATGTGTTTATTACTTTCTATTTCTCCCTGGTGTGCTTTTGGAAAGGTTTTATGTAAGTGTGTGCGTATATATATATATATATGTATGTATGTATGTATATATGTATGTATATATTTATAAAATCACACATATAAATGATTGAGGTCTTCTCTTAGAAGTTTGAGGGTGTAGCATAGTTAAATACCTTAACCTTTCTGTTGTACTTCACTCTTTACTTATCCAGCATGCAAATGAATTCATGGCTGGGGCTTCCTGCATTTAATGGTACATAGTGCTCATAATATATTGCTAATATTTTATTGTTATTACTATTAAGAACTTGGTATATTTTCTTATTCCTGTTTGTATATTAGAATGCAAGAAATAGTCTAATGCTTACAAACTTCTCAGGAAAGTTGGAACATCTCCTGGATCCAGCTGTCCTGACCCAGGACCCTCCTGTCCAGCTGCTGAAGCCCAGCATGGTGCTCCTGGAAAACCAAGATCTCTGCTCCGTCTGAAGGATGCTTCTGCCATTTTCCCATTGGCAGGTTCAACCAGTAGTGAAGTTAAGTGTGTGTGCCACAGACAGGCACAGACACACACAAATACACAGAGGACACAGATAGGCTGGTCACACAGATGGTCACAGACAAAGTGCTGCTCTCAGCAGCCCCCACATTTAGGACTCACACCAGACACATTCTCCCTCCTCCTTTTGGGCTGACAGAGGCTTCTGCACACCACACTCTCCAGGTTCACAAACACACACACATTCGTGGATCCCCTGAGCACCAGCACAGCTCTGCTGCACTCCTCACTCATGCTTGTGTCCCAAAATAGCTGGTTTTCATGAGGAGGCCCCCAGTGGCTGGAGGTTAAAGACCTCACTGCTCCCAGTAGCTGGCACCACAGACCAGACTCCAGGAGCAGCTCTTGTCAAGCGGGAACATAAACATGCTGTCATTACTTATGGTATAAGTAGATGTTCACAAAAGAACTGACAAGTGAGAAATTGATGGTCCCTTTTGCAATCCTACTCCTTTTATTGATAACATCACATATCTGTCCTCACCATTCCTCTGTATGAGTTTCTTCTGCCTTTAGCGCCAGTTTGTTTTCACCTGTGTTTTCGATGAGGACATTTGCTATGGTAAAGAATTATGTAGTTATAGCCTT